TTCGTATTGCAAAAATTCGTTTAATTTAATTTAATTTAATGTTATAATTGTACATACAGATATACATATAAATATGTGTATATCATCTAGGACAGCAAGTCGCAAAGGTTATCGACAAGACCTCTGGCATACCTCTTGTATGTAAATTGTATATGTATAAACAATCTCTATCTCGATCAATACAAAGAAAATAACATCGTTAAATATTGAAAAGATGATCGTGTAACCCCTGATAATTCGATGTGACACTGTAGACCGAACGGATGAGATAAATTTCCAACTAGATAACATATCCTTTCTATGTGGTCACATAAATTTTGAATTTCTTTACGTGTCATATAATGTATCGTTAAGTATTAAGTATCGTTGCATCATAATCTATACTGGTGTATACTCGTATTTCAAAATTATATTCTCTAATCAGAATAACTTTTTCATTGCAAAGTACGTCTTCGCAAATTCTGCTAGACCGACAAATTGCAACTTATAATTTTCTCCCGTTCAACGATTGTTACAGTAGACACAGATAAATATACACCAATCATGCTCACTTTACGAAGTAGTCGAAGCGTTTCTTTCTAATGATTCACTTTAAAACATAAACATTTACCGGATAATTACTTCTTACATACGAACGGTGCATAAAAATTTCATCGAAGCATACTATGTACACGTTCACAATTATTCGCAGTAATTTTACGAAAAAAGATAAATTTTCGTTGTTGCATTGCACTGTACATACAAAATTACCACAGAAAAAAGGAGAATTCACATTTTATATTTATAAATCACCCTGTTTGATACACGTTTACTTGCAACTGTCGATTATTAGTCAGTCCTCGTCTATGTCATACTGATACGTTTACACCAACTGTTTGCATCAACGTTCGCGGAAAGTGTCAAAATTCATTCGACGAATTTTAGAAAGGAAAAATATCGGTTAGGTTGCCGCGCGACTGAAAGGCACGAGGTGAGCGAGACATGTAAGTATGTACCTATGTATGTAATACTTATTCTTAATGACGTAGTCGAAGGAAACGCGGGCTCGACTATTCCGAGAGTTCGCGTTCGATCCTCGTGCGCTTATACACGTACCCCCCTGGATAAACGAGCAACGGATCAAGAAGTTCCGTTGTATTTTCGAGCGCAGGCGCAAAAATTTACCGGCCGTTGACTTGCACGTTTCACTGCAATTCGGTATTTAAGATTGCTTCACCTCTGACCCATTCGAAAAGCTATCTCTAATTGAGCCTTCGACACACTGCAACAACCACGATCCAGCTCATGAAAGAAACTTGTTCTATCGATTTAAAGAACCGTTACTTATCGCAAATAAACTTTTCCTTGTTAATATCAAATTTGCATCACTTGGGAAACAGTTAACCTCAAATATTACTAATTACCTCCTTAGATTTATAACGATTCCAGTCATTACCTAAGCGATTGCTCGAATTCTATACGAATTCTATACTGCTCGAATTACTACATTTTATTGAAATACATTACTTCGTATACGATCGAAAAATTTTGTCGATAATAATGAAAGTAACAGTGGTTTTGAAAGCACCTTGTACATTTGTTTCTTTTGTGTATGCAACAATATACTAAATAATATTGTTTAATAAGTATTATACGTATTTAACCACGTAAGGTACGAGGAATACTGACTTCCAGTTCTGGCTGTTTTTGTCGAGCCTGCGCCTCCACAGCAGCTATTCGGGGCAATCATTTACTGGTAGATCGATATCTTTTGAACTTATAAGACGTATCCAGTTCTATGCACTTTTTTATTAAATAAAATTATATTACAATCGTTCATAATATAATTTAAGATGCAAAAGTTACGATCTTCACATACCAAGAAATTTTACTTGGTGTAAACATTACAAGAGACCATAGATTATACATAAAAAGTGAGAAAGAATGTGAAGAGAAACATTGGTTACTTGACTTTTACACTTCGGTATAATTGATCTGATCAATCAGTCTACAATTGAAATCAAATTCATTATTTTGATACAAACATATCTTTGATCGTGATATAGCACAAGATACTAACCTCTTTTCAAGTATATATGTACAGATACTGCACACTAATGAAATATGACTGAAATTCACTTTTAACCGTAAAACATTTACCGAAATACCGAAATGAAAGAAGAGGAATGGAGAAAGCACGCGGTTATGTAGTAAAACGCACTTGGCTATCTTATCACAGGCAAAAATGAACGATGCTATCGCGTGGGCGACGGACAACGCGACGGACGATGGCTTCGTGCTCGATGCAACCTACGCGACGTCATTGCTCGACAGATGGCGAGCCCCCAACAATCATTCTCTCTCTTTTGCATTCTATCCTGTTCTTCTAATGTTATGAAGTATGTTCCAAATTTCTTTATTATGAAGAATGTGCTACAAAAATTTTAACTAGTACATTTGATTCTGCATTGTTATCGTTGTTTACTATTCTAAAGTAATACGATGTAATGCTATACTTTAAAATATTAATTTATTCTTTTAAATTTACACAATATATATTTTCTAATTTTCTAATAACCCACTTTCTTCCCCTACAATTTACAACTTGAAAATAAAAGAAAATTAAAAACTCAGATTATTAAAAAATATTTCGATACTGCTATGTTATTTTTGTAAAGTAAACACGTATGAGAAATTCAAAGTCATTTCCTTTAACACGTTGCTGTCGTCAAACAATTATTTGCATTTCAAATGATGTTCCATCTACATTACAGCAGTGACGTTCAATGGATCTGAAGTTTCAAAATATTATAAATGCATATTTGAATTATAGAACTAAACGTGTAAATACATTGTTCACGTACCAACATTTGTTTAGACCCTGTCAAGAGTAAATAAAAAGTATTATAAAGATACATTTGTATTTCGAATGCGTGTAACACTTTTGACAAATTGCGTCAAGTCAAGCATGCTGTACGAAAGGCCAAAATTTTAAGTGACAAAGAAACGTGATATACATATTTACGTGTACATATAAAACGTACACCAATTTCACAGCTAACACACGAATATAAGCAGCCTTTACGTGTTAATGGTAATAAAAAAAATATTACAAATAAGCAGCAGTTTTCAACGATTGTATTTAGTTGAAAAATTTTTGTATTACGAACATAAAAATTATATTTTATTCACATGTAACAGGTATATCTTTACGTACCATATAACTGATTTTAATGATAAACCAGAGCACGTAATTCGGTTAATATTGATATATGTAAATCAATGTATGTATGTATACCAGTTCAAAAATGTTCTTCACATTCGTGATATCGTAACATTCATATCCGATTGCGTCAGATAATATATCTCGAGGCTTAAAGAACACAGACAGGTGACGTGCCTTGTACACACCCATCGAATCGACCAATCGCGTGCTAGGTTACCGAGTGTTCTCAAATCATTTACTACACACAAGTTATCTACAATTTAAAAAAAAAAAAGAGTGTTAAATATCTGTTACTTTTAAAAACTAATAAAAAACTTAACGAACATTTAAGAAAATAAAGTAAACTCGTTCCTCTAAAATAGAATATTTTAGTAACACAATTCTAATATGAGAACCACTGCGTGGGTCAATAAGTTGTCCATAGACTTGTATCACGGTTCAAAGGACCGAACGAAAGGATTCTGTTTCGCAGAAAATTAAAGGGTCAACAACGATAAATATACATATATGTAAATGCCAATTACATATTTGACACGTCATTTAAAAAATATTCCAAGTCAAAAAGTTAGGTTATATTATCGTAATGACAAACAAAAATTTCATTCAAACTACTCGCGTCAGATGTTTTTTTTTTTCCACTTATTTTTACATTTAACACCGTACTTTTAATATTTCTACGCTGAAATACATTTAGCAAAAGAAAAAAAAAGAAGCAGAATGAAAGAGTCATGTTACTGTATTGTAATTTTTCAAAAGCAATTATTCCTGACATGTATATTATCGCTAAAATAAATTTTTATGAATTACACGTATAATAGCACAGTATTGACATAGCAAAGAGTCTATTTTGCGAGCGATAAGTATCGTTTAATTATCCGATAGGTACTAAGGGCATATTAATTGAATGCTTAGAATTCCATTAACTAGGGTCAAATACGTATCTACGTGCAGTAGTTTAAAGCACGTCTTGCGTCATTCGAAGAAACCACAGATCGTTCGATCAAGAAAGCATTACTAAAGACCAACGATACTCATTGCGAACTCCAGAGAATCGATCAATGATCTGCGATGCCCAAGGTCAAGAATGGCTACTTGAAAGAATTCTGTCGATCGTTTGTGTTTTATTTATTGTTGTCTATTTATTATTTCAACGGAAATGTCACATTTTAATAGTTATTGTTGTTTAATTGTTACTTTATATCGTATATTTTATGTTAAACGATGCTTGTTTCAGAATGGATTACGATTCGACAGCTAACATCAATTGAATACAATTTCGGCAATTCTCTAAAAATAAATTGTCTTTCCATCATACTTGCTTTTTTACGTGTGTATTGTACATGGGCTCAGTTTACCACTACTTGATAATTTGGTAACACACGTGTCAATTTTACTCGGCAAGTATTCAAGATCAGCTGTTCCTTACATACGGCTTTCACATACGCGATACCTATACGTATTTACCACCGTAGTACGAGTATTTTTAGACATATTTACTAATATTTTATATAAAGAAAACGTTATATCGAAGCACTATAATATTAATTAACAATTTACATTTACTGTCACTTTACCATCTCTATTAACTGCATCTTACGTGTAACACATAAATCGTGCAAGTATAAATCAACAGTGCAATAAAAGAAGAGAAGAAAAAAAATGTATGTATTAATATTATTGCAAAGAAATACGAAAGATATGTTAATAAGATTAAGACCATCTGTTACATAAATAATTTGATATTATGTATATCGATATATCAGTTTGAATAAAAAGACAGTGTATTCGTACTCACTTTTCGAGCAGATACAGGTACAGTAGTTTCTCTAGCATAAATAGGAACGTCCAAATCACTAACACTGCTGCTGATACTGGGTGCTCTGGAATCAGGTCGACCACTGAGAGGGACGGAAAGATGCGTTGGCCTAAGTGGATGAGATTCCGCGATGAAACCCTCTCCGAAGTCCTCGTCATCTCGATCCATCTCTTGTTACAACACCAAACAAAATATGCGTGAATTAGCGAACACCCTTTTCTTTCAAATGTTCTTATGTAAAATGAAAAAACGAACAGGGTACAAGTAGCAATATTTCGACCTCTCGACTTTTCACCAAATATTTTCTCTTCTTAGTTAATCGCAACATTTTTTCAAGATGCGACATTTTTTATGCGACATATCATATAGAACGATGACAATAATTGTCAATTATGCGTCGTAGATATTGTACGTAAAATTAGCGCGAGAATGTGACAACAGTATGCTTTCCCTATCAATTATTTGGCAGAGGATCAAGGCTAGTAAAACTCGATGACACACTCCCCACTCCTATCGAAAATTTCGTCCCACGATCATTCAAGAAAATTCATAGAAAACAGAGTAACCCTCCTAATAATTATTTCGTTAACGCAAATCGATGTATATTTTGTTCAACTTTTAATTCCATGCTGTTCGCTACTTACAATTTTATAGTAATACACGTCCAACAAATGTAGATGCAAATTACCGTGTAATTTGATTTCAAATCAAAATTGAAATAATCTTCGGAAATATCTTCTGTTAAAATGTTACATATTAGTAACAAACGGTTAACCACATTTTAATTTTGTCGCCACGATGTTTTCCTCAAATCACTAGAAATGAATTGATAAATTTTTTTCTACACACACGCGCGCGCGCGTGTGTACCTATATGTATGCGTATATATATTTAACATTTGTACAACGAACAAGAACCGCCGTTCAAAGATTTCACGTGAGAAAATAAAAAATCATAAACATTTTTTCCATTCAAATTTCGTTCTGTATCAGAAGAAATATTAGTTCGCTTGAGCCAATAATACCGACCGTGAAAAATCAGGACACGGTCCATTGACGTCAACGAGGGATCTAAATGTTGCTACAAGAAAAGCATGACATTTTTTAATTACCTCGTGCTCAAGCGAAGCAGAAGCGATAGATGGAATACAATGAAGAGAAGAGTTTGGCAACAGATTATTTCTGAACGAGCGAATCTGCACCTCTTAACGCCCGCCGATTGCGAAAGAATGTCGAACGTGTTGCCGATGAAACCGACGGTGAAAACACGAGAATACGAGAAAGAAATATCGAAGATCAGAACATCCGTACAGCCGGGGTGTGCTCTTGAGACTGAGCTAGAGGACGCATCTCGTCGCGACGTCGCCGTCGTCGTCGCCGTCGCCGTCGCCGTCGCCGTCGCCGTCGGCAAGACGTAGCCGTCGGCCTCCGGCTGAATTTAATTTTAACGCATACGTCGTTAGACGAGCCTCCGACTTCCTCTAACAACGAACACAACTACGTTAATGCATCGCCTCGTCTTCCCCTTCGACGCTTCGATTCTCCTATATTTCTGCATCAATTAATTCCTGCTAAACTTCGCAATTGATTTCACTTGACCTGATAGCGTATCCTACCGGCAGCTTCTTATCTATCAGAATTCTAACAGTTCAAATATCTTCCAAAGATATTCAGATTTTTACTCTTTACATCGCATTCTTCGTGATCGTTAACGTACAGAATTACTTTTATTTGTTAGAACGTACGAATGGAAACGATGCAAAGATTAACGTTCGAAGGGCTTGAAAATTTCATCATTCCTATAGTCTTTTTACAATTTGCAGGCGTTCTTATGTTAGACATACTAGACCGTTTATACTCGTACAATTTCCTCCAAGTTCAAATTATAAATTCGAACTAACAAAAAAATACATTTGTAACTCGATAGCAGGTTTCTATGACGAGTACCTGTTGCACTTCAATTTCAATTAATTTTAACAATGTTTTCTAATGACATTGATTACATAAAAAAGAACATCTGATTTTAAAACTAGTCGTGCGTATTGAAAGTGGATCTCTTATTTATTAGTTATTTGTAGAACTACGCTTCTACGATAATATTTGCAATGAGCTTCGAAAGAAGTACATACATAAGTACATTACATTCTGAATAAATGATATGATTTGTATATAAAAGGTAAACATTTGTAATGTATATACAAAACTTTGTGCGCAATAGAAAATACGTATTTTTTTTCAGGCACATATAACAGTATAATACACTTGGCAATATGAATTAAATGTAAAACAAAGTTTCTTACTAGAGTATTGTAATACGCGTAATTTGCGGAATTCTACAGCGTCCTTACTTCTTGGCTTTCCAAGCGTTAATAAATTAGATAAATTTAATGGCGCCATCTGACGATTTGTAAAAGTATTGGTTATGTATGTTTAGCTTCTGAACTTTTCTGTTTATATTGATTCAATAAGAATTAATGTTATACAAGTTATATTATGATATTAAAAAAGTTTATTACAAATGTTAATGATACATAGATATAAATTTTTTTAATCTGTTCTCAAACGGTAATTTTCTTGTTGAGCAAAAATGGTTATATTAACACAAGTTTTAGGTTATGCGACGAAGGTAATTTTTACATTTAACATATTCAACATGCTCTGTTAATTTGATTATAATAACATTAGGACAGCAAAAATACAATCTGCAGTTATATAAACTATAAATTTTAATTAATTATCTAGTTACCGAGAAATTTTAGGCGTCGAGGTTTAATCGACAGTTTACGACTTCACGTAGCCGGAGGTGCCGGTGGATCCGGATTACCTCGATATGGTGGAATAGGTGGAGCAGGAGGAAATGTTTACGTTATTTCGGAAAACAACTTAATATTAAAAGATGTCAAGCATAGACTGAAAGATGTAAATCTAAAAGCAGGAACAGGGGGTACAAGTACAAAAAAAGGACTTATTGGAGTACCTGGAACAGATTTAAATATTAGTATTCCAAATGGTATTACTGTTTATGATGAAAATCGTATTAAACTTGGTAATGTAGATGTGAACAATTTACATTTGATCTCACAAATAATAATAGTTACTCATGATAATAACATTTGCATTTTTGTAAAAATATATAGGACAAGTGAATTCAAAGAATCCAAAACTAATGGTTGCAAAAGGTGGAAAAGGAGGATGCGAAAACACAGGATACTGTGGGCTCAAAGGTGAAAAACGCACCATTGTACTTGATCTTCAGTTACTTGCTGATGTTGGTTTAATAGGCTTTCCAAATGCAGGAAAGAGCACCTTTTTAAGTGCAATTTCAAAAGCCAAACCAAAGATTGCTGATTATCCTTGTAAGTTTTATTCCATGAAAATACACATTATGTACATTAAATACATATGCATTATTTCATTTTACTTGTTTCCAGTTACAACCATAAGACCACAAATAGGTACTGTAACTTATAAAGATTACAGACAAATTTCTGTTGCGGATTTACCAGGTTTAATTGAAGGTGCACATGTTAATAAAGGGATGGGTCATAAATTTTTAAAACACATAGAAAGGACAAAATTACTGTTATTTATTGTAGATATTCATGGATGTCAAGTTTCTTTTAAGCATGTACATAGATCTTGTTTAGAAACTGTGCTCCTTTTGAATAAAGAGATTGAACTTTACAATCCTGACTTACTAGAGAGGCCTGCAATGATTATAATAAATAAAATGGATATGGAAGGGGCAAATGAAATCTATGATGAAATCAAGCCAAAATTAAATAATTTGTCGGAATTCCTTTCAGAATTCGATGAAGCCATCCAACCAAAGAGAGTATTGCAATTTGATGATATTCTCACAGCATCTTTGAAATCAAAAGATGCAGACGAAATGCTGGTAATAAAAGAAAAGATCAGATTTATCATTGATAAATATGAAGAAGAAAAAGCTTTTGCTGAAGACATGAATTCAAATGAGGACAATTTACTTGCAAACTTAAAACGACGAGCACAACAGTTTGCACCTACACTTATATAATTTACCGTTTATTGGTTTAAATACGTGATATCGTACATCGATAATACGATAACATAGAAACGAAGGTATATATTACAAAAGTGCATTCAAAACTCGGAAGTAATTATTTTTTACATTATCAGTCATTATAAAATTTGACACCATTGTAACAAGAAATAGATATGAATTTATTTTTTTTTAAGTACTGTTAGAAAAGTTTCTTTTTTATGTTCACCCACTGACATTTTAAATTTGCTGATTGTACTTTTTCAATCCAACTTTCACCAAAGGTAGCCCTCTTTTGTACTTTTATCTTTTCAATCTCATTTAGATCTCTAATAACATCTGTATCTGTAATCCATTTTTCCACTCCATTCCATGCTATCATTATTCCATTATCAGTACATAATTTTGGTGGAGTTCTGACAAAATTATAACCTAGTTCTGCACACAGAATATTCAACGCCTTGGCTAAGACATTATTAGATGCTACTCCTCCAGATACAACCTGTTTGACAGAAACATTATAGTTAAAATAATAGGTGTTGATTCAAAATACAAAGCTTTAATTTCCTTAATAATTTTGAACATACTAGCGTCCGTTTGTTTTCAGGAAATAATGACATTTTATTAATATACTCCATTGCTCTTTGAGTTCTTTGACAAATATGTACTACAGCAGATAACTGAACTGCTGCACATAAATTATATACATCAGGAATCACCATATCACCAATTATATTATGCTTTATTTCTTCTAATTCAACATACTTGTTACATATGGATTGAAATCCAGCAAAACTGAAGTTGCAATCACGATATTTCAACATAATAGATGGAAATGGAAATTGATCAATATTTGATGCTTTACTCGCTGCAATTTCTATAGCTAGTCCACCATTTAAAGAACTAAGTTCTGGAATATTTTTTAATTTGAGTCTTCGGGCAATCTATAAACATAAATGTGTATTGTATGATATACATATAATGTAGAATTAAAAGCAGAGATTAAGTAAAATTAAAAGCATACTTATTTTAACATTAAAGGTACATGTATAAAACTACAAATGTATCTAAAAATGTATAAAATTACATGAGAATGAGATAATATGCTAAATAATAATACTAATAATGTAATAATTTCAAAGTTCAAACTAAGAATTATTTTAATTCTTAATTTTTTACCTTATCAAATATTTCTCCAGGGGCATTAGTTAAATTATTACCAAGCAGAAAAAATTTACTTATATTTTCAACGACAGCCAGTAAACAGTGGCCTCCAGAAACTAATAAAACGAGATATGGGAAATCAACCTGAAATTAAATTCTATTTTTCCCATTGTTCATTTTTTTATTATGTGAAATATCAATGTGTCAGGTAACAAACTGTTTCTGTCATTCTTGCAGTCAAAGCATGAGCTTCCATATGATGTATCGGTATGAAAGGTTTTTCTCCAATTTTTGCTAAATATTTCCCAAATTGTGTTCCAACAGCAAGTGACATAGGAAGCCCAGGCTTTACAGTTGTAGCTATCGCATCAATATCTTTTAGCTTCAGATTTGAAGCTCTCAATGCATCTTCACAGACTTTTGTAATATTGTTAATATGCATTGTTCTTGCAATTGGTGGCAATATTCCTCCAAACCTACAAAAGATGTATGAATTGTTACAGATCATATAAAAAAATATTTATAAGAACAATATGTCAACAATAAGTTTTCATTACTTCAAATGAGTAAGTTGTTGAGAATGAATTGCTTCACCTAATATAGTTCCATTACTATCAACAATTCCACAGCCTGTGTCATCACAACTAGATTCTATTCCTAAAATTACAGCAGGTTTACTGTGCAAAAAATGTTGTACAACTTTTAAATTACGCTTATGTAAATGTAATAATATATCCCAATTTACACAGTGTTTATATAGATATTTGTAAAACAACGAGCACATATTATAGGCCATTTTCTTTCCAAATTAACTTTCAGAATTCTTTTTTATTTATATTTTGCGCATTAATATATAAGTACTACTTGAGGACACATTGAACTCACGTTACACATTTGTATTTGTTCAAATGCAATGTAGAAATTATTATTATTATTACTATTGTTATATTATGATCCCATAAGTGAAAATAATAAAATTAATAATTTGTTCATTATATTCTGTTTAATTTACTGTATTTCATGTTCGAAATTACTGCGATATATAATGCATAAGCACGTATTATGTGCATTACATATTATATTTGGCTTCAATTCGAGAGTTCGATATACGATGTTGATATATCGAAAGTAACAATCGATGCGACCCACGCAACGCTTAGCATCTCGTAGCCATCACAGATTGCAGATTTTCACTCGAGTGTTAAAACTTGGATGTACAATGTCGGAACAGTAAGATATTTTCTTTCTTGCCTAAGAAAAATGAATATTTTGGCATATTTTTAACGTTTGATTTAATTTTTCAATTATTTTGCATAACTGTACCCTTATTACACTTCGTAGAAAATAAGTTTCGATTATCTTAATAAAGATTGAGGTTAGAGTTATCATCACTGTTACTAATGACGTACATTGTGCTTTTTCAAATATCTTTTATTGCACTCTTATTTTTCCCTTTAATCGATTAATTTATTATTATCCTAATTATTTTATTTCAGAGAATACATTTTGTTTAAAAAATATCAATAAGATTTGGTATCCATGAAAATACTCTCTATTTTTATTATGTACTAATAGTTACTTTAATAAACATCGCCGTGATTGCTACAAATCACTTATTCCCATAAGTTTTGTAACCGTTTTATTAATGCGAATTTGTTCTTCTTGCATACTAATTGAATTTAATTAAAACAATATTAATACTTCGACTGTACCATACATAGAAGTAAGCAATGCAGATAGAAAATTTAAACAGTTTTATTCGAATAAATCAGACATAGGAATAGCCTATTGGTTTTATGTTAAACATCAACAACAAATTTAACAAGTTTTACATATATAATTGAACTTTTTGTTATTAGTTTTAATAATTTGGTACAAAACACTTTTCTAATAATTGAAGTCACTGTTTTGTTCATTATTTGTTTAGCGATGATACTTTATTGGACGGAGATCTCGGGGATGAAGAATACGATCTAGGTAACGACGAAGAAGAGGCCCTTTTAGCAGATGACTATGAACTCGATAGGGTGAGCATATTGCTGGACCATTATTTTGTTATTAAATGAAAATTAGCTCACCATTGTATTATGATATAATGTGAAAATTTAATAACAAATACATTGAAAATTTCAATTTCAATTAGAAAGTCAAGAAATTTTTAATCCATTTGTGGCTGCAACATTGTGTAGAATAAAAAAAATTACTATATTAATTAAGTTATAAAATAATTCTGAAAAGTATACCATGTAAACTATTTCTATGATTATTCTAGTCGTTATTTGAAACTTTATGGAACGTAATGAATTATCTAACATAAATGGATTAACTTTAATACAATTCTGTTTCCATATATTCCATAAATAATATATTTCAGCTTGCAAGATAATACTTAATACTGTTGATTTTATTTAGTTCTATCTTATTTACTTTGTGTGTTATAGCTATGATAAACAGACCTAAAACTGAGACTTCATGTTATATATTTTTCATTGTACAATGATATTATCTTGGATACAAGGTGTTATTTACTTATGCGTACAATCATACTTCACGTATGACATAAACTTATTACAATGTTTATTAAAGCCATCCATTTAAATGTTGACAATTGCAAAGAAGATTATAGAACGAATTGCTTATATTATTTACCAAAGATACAATATGTTTGAATATTTTTCAATTTTTCAAGGTGGAACGATTGTTTCGCTAAATTTGTAAGCTTGGATATTATATGCTTATTGTAAGAGATCATATGCAATGTTCAAAGTAAATGCGTGAAAATTATTAAACGTTCGTCTTTGCGTAGACGGAACTTTTGTACTTTATACAGACATTATTATTTTGAATAATTGTTGGTTTATAAAATCTGTCGCGAGACTTCTCAATTTTATTATAACAGAACAAAGGTATGAAAATTGTGATATATGGAACATGTAAAATAAAAACGCAAACATATTTAGATAGAATTGTTGCAGGGAAAATGAAAATCAACGGATTAAAAATTATTCTTCACGTTGCGTTGTTTCCTGTGAAAAATTTCCAATTTTTCCTTTCGTTACTTTTTCCCTTTTACGTATTTTACTTATTACTTGGAATTTTTTAGTTGTTTCGTATCGATATCGATTGGTTTGTGCATACCGATAAATATTAAGAGTTTTAATTTTCTTAGATTGTACAATTGTATTACGTTATCTATCTGCCTAAACTCATAGAAACAAATGTTTTATCGTACATTTCCTTTTCCCTGCTTTTATTAAGAAAGACTCGATTGTCAGATATTCTAAGCAGAATCAATGTTAATAATAGTTGAAGCAATAATACATTATATAAATTCGTCCAAGTGCTATTTACACCATTTCAACAAATTACAATTCAAAGTGTTATTCAACCGAATGATTTGTAACGTGCATAGATTTGATTACTACAGTTGCTTCAAATAATATCATAACTCGGGTATAAACATCTTTATCATGGAGAATGTTTTAATGAAAGTTTTTACGCATAAAACGTAAATACGTAGAAATGTTTCGTTGAATTACACGTACGTCTGAAATTCTAGTTTCTCACCGTTGTACGTTACTTTCCATTTCGAAATGGAAATTAGATCTTAACGCGGCTCTTTACTTGAAACCAAATCGAATTGTAAGATTATTATTTTCATGCGAAAAATTGAAAACGGAGCGTTGTTTGTGAAACGATGTGTGTAAACATATGTTACCTACCACATAGTACGAATTCTTTCATTAAAACATTGGGCTATCGTGTAAAAAGAAAAAAAAAAAAAAAAAAAAAAAAAAAAAAAAAAAAAGAAAAGAAAGTGCGAAGGAAGAATGGTATTGTAAGAAAATAAAGTCGTTCGTATTCTGGAACGATTGTAACAATATCATGGATATTTTTGAGGATTGTATCAATTTGCATAGCATTTAAAATCATGTATCTACTCATCATCCATTTTCATGAGAAAGCACAGTAGCATGATATATGAAGGAATTGTAAAGGTGATTTAACTGGTAAATTCGTAACGCGATTTGCACGATATAAAAAGGAGAAAAGTACACGCGTTATATGTATATGGGTAACGTAAAGGAAAACGAGTTGCGATATAAGAAGAAGTACCATTGGTATCTGTTCTATCTGTATCTATATCATGCTACTGCACTTTGAATCTGCCACATATATATTGTACAATATACTCGTATATTTATAACAGTGAACTGTTGTATTGTGAAGTTATCGGATATATTGTCGGTTTTATTCGAAAAGTAATATCTGATTGTTCTATATTCGTTGCAATAATATTCATTAACACGGATTATTTAATCGTACTTAATAACGAGGTCTGTTGAGATATTTGCGATTCAATTTTCTTCTGTACGAATAATCTATTATTAGCGAAAATCTGTAAGGAGTAAGACAAAAGAAAAGACGAAGGAAATGAAAGAGAGAGAAAAGAGAAAGAAAAAAAGAGAAACGCTTGGTACAATTGCGGTATGTTAAATCTGTGAAAGGTGCGGCGTTAGCCTCGTTTGAAATCATGAAAGAATAATTTTTCAATGCATTCGTAGACATACATATACATACATACGTTAATTAATGAATTAATTAAGAGTAGATTGTAACGACCATGGCTAAATGTAGTATTTTCATTACAAATATTTGGCAATTTAATTCCCTGAGCAGCAGAATAGCTATAAGGGAGAAGAGGAAACAGATGATGTACTGGACTTAGGAGTCACCGACGCACTCGACGACTTAGACGGCGAAGATGAAAACATTGAATTTAATAGGAGCAAAACCGCTAGAAGCAATGACAATGATTTTTACGAGGACGGGGATCATCAGCTAGAGGCTCAATCGAAGTATTACGAGCAAGACGAAATGAAGAAATATAAAAGCGAGCAAACGCGACAACAGCACGACGAACGTTCCGCGAACGATCTGATTAACACCTCGAGTAACATCGGAAAGGGAGATCTGCGTGAAAAGCTGCAGAAAAATGCAAAAATCTATTCTGGTAATAACGGACAAGGTTTCGAAGATGACGAATGCGAAGAAGCGAAGGAAAGGAGGAATAGATTTCAAAACGAGAGAACGATCGTTTCTCCGAAAATGAACAGCAATATACCGGACACATTGGAGAACGTGGTAACATCCGAACCGTCCATCAAGCTGGCGTCCAGAGGCCGAGGAAGAGCTCGAAGCGCAAGAGGATGCCGTGGAGGAGGAAGATTCAATGTACAAAATCCGGGAAATTTTAATCAAAGGTACGCGCAATTCTTCCATAGATAAGCCGTTCGATATACATATACAATATTTATGGTATTATTATATTTTGTGATTGAGCGTGCGTGCGTGCGTGCGTGTGCGTGTGCGTGTGTGTGTGTGTACACGTGTATACACGTGCGTCTGTATATATAACCATATGTAAAACGTGATTCGCCAGGTTTGGTAATGCACGCAACGCGAACAACTTCGATAATCAAGCGCCGCCGGCATGCAGACCACCTTTACTAGAGACCAGGCCACCTTTTCTCCTCGGAGTGCCGAACAACGTACAAAATCAACAACAGATTATATATCAGCAAGCAAATTCTCAACTACAATCTTTCCAGCACTATTCATCACCGAACGGCTCTCTCCAAGCTCCGACGCACTTTCTAGATAATAGACCGCAATTCAATCCTAATCAATTTCAAAGTCAAGTGGGCCCTAGAATAATTGGGCCAAGGTTAGATTACGGACCAAGAGCTAGTTTACAAGGACCGTCTTACAGCCATCCCTCGTCGAATCAACCACCTTACGCCGTACAAATCAATCAATCGGCGCCCACATCTGTCGGCCCCTTTCAAAATTCTTCATCCGTGCTCATGCAAGATAATCAACCGCGATTGATGCAAAACAATCAAGGCCCGTTGTTGCAAGGAAATCCCGGCGGAGGATCGCTACTTGGAAATCTAAATCCGATGATACCTGGAACATCGGCGCCGTTGTTGCAACAGGGTAACCAGCCGTTACCCATGCAACAGTCATTTCCACGGCAACCATCCACCACACCCTCCTCCTCGTCCTCCTCCCAAGGGCCCCTTATCAACCATCCAAATGTCACTCAAATATCGAATCAATCGCCCTTCGAGAATAGACCACCACCTTTCCAAGAACCGGCTCAATTCGAGAACCGACCCGTTTACGATTCGAGGTCCGGCTATTCCGATCAAGTACCTACCAGCCAATTTAATACTAATACGTTACCTGTACCGCAACAATCCGCTTCCAATGTACCCAATGTACCTTTACCTCCAGGGCACAAGATTTTAATCAATCCTCACTTTCGAGGAGCCGTTCAGTCGACAAACGACGGTGAGTCTTTTTCCTACTCTTTCTATCTTTCTTTTCTCTCTTTTCTTCCTTCCTTCCTTTCTTCCTTTCTTTGTTTATTTCATTTTATTTCACGCATAAACAGCAAGGCTCGCGTGGGATTCCACTCAACAACAACAACAACAACAACAACAACAACAACCACCACCACCTTTGTCATCCCAAATTCCAAGCGGTCAGTTTGCACAACCCGTCGTTTCTTATCAGAATCAAAGCTCGTATAATCAAAGTCAACAAGGACCGCCGCATTACCAACAAAACTACCAACAAAATTACCAACAAAATAAAAGCGATGTACGTATCCCTCTCTCCTCGCAATATTTCCAATCAGCTATAGAAAATATTTACATTTATGTGTACTACCTTTCGTAGGATCCTTATGCGTACTTTTCTGACGTATGGCAAGAAAATAAGCCACAGAAAAGTCAGAGTGGGGCTACGAGTAAACAGTATCCTTCGGATAACAGTTATCCACGGGAGGGTAACTATGAGTACAGTTCGAAGTATAAGTCGGATCAGTGGAATCAAAAGGATAGCTATCAAGAGGTGGGTACAAATGTATTATCGATCGTTAATAATTATTTTATTATGCGAAAACAGTTATTCGGTTATTGACCGGAAACATTACCGTACCAGGATCACAGAGGAGTCCACCAAAGTTATCGCGACAGAAATTTGTCGTCGAAAACTAGAAGCGATCATCATGTTTCGAAAAGCAGGACTTCTTCGTCGAACGCGTATCGTGAGAATTATGATCAAAATCATGTACAAAAGTCTTGTAATAGACCAGTGAATACTTCGATAAGAACTAGATTACCACCCCAGAAAAGAGTTTCTGACACCATTGATAGACCTTTGCGTGATTTGAGCCCAAAACGAATAAAGCCAAGCAATAGAAATCTGCAAGAAGTGCGAACAGTGGATACGTTAAATAACACGAATAATGAGAAAAAGGTACCAACATACATACATACATACATACATTTATTCATTTCGTTTTCACACGATACGCGCATTCCTTCTAAATAATCATCATGCTCGTTCAGGATGAAGAAAGTGATCCAGAAATGCAGGAGTACCGAAAAAAAATGGAAGAACAGAAGCGGCTAAGAGAAAAGATTCTACGTGAAAAGGAAAACCGGCGAAAAATGGCTGCAATGGAAAAACAGAATGAGGAAGCTAAACACGAAAGTAATACATGTATGTAGAATTCAGTTTATCGTTGATAGAAATATGTCAAGCACGGATTACTTGTTAATTCTTATTTACTTGAATTTTCACTTCACTTAAATCAGAACTACATCGACGGTATGGAGTTAATATATTATGTTTTCCAGCAAATGAAAATATACAGGATATGAAACCAGTGTCAGTACTTATGGGAGTAGTAAAAGATGCTTCTATAAACAAAGGACATATCAGCATTGGAAAAGGACGTGGTCGTCCTGTCAATACACAACCTACAGAGGTACACGACTAAAATTGCCATATTTTTTTCCATTGTTAATCGTACATGAACCTTGAAATAGGCATAGTGTATTCTTTTTCTTTCTTTCTTCTTTTATCTTTGTTTCTCTTTTCGTTATAACGTGTACTCTTAAAACACCTTAATGTACAAAGCGGCACTAATATTTTAAATATATATCGCGCATAAATTCATCGTTGATCATCGTGATATGTTACACTTTCTAACCATTGATAAGAAGTGTACTATTTTTATCGATATTTTAAATATTTATCGCTACTTGAACGGTAGTTTGTCAATTTTAAATGGAATATTAATAAAATGTATATGTATATATGTACATATACATACGTGTCTATTAGACTTTTCTGTATATTTTTTACTCATATTTCAATAAAATATATTTTTAACTACTTTTTGTTCTTTTTAATTTCCTCCAAACTTTTAATTGCGTTTTGCTACAATTATTTTGCATTAACCTTAATTGTTTTTCATCCAGTGCTATCTTTTAAAACAAGCAGTTGATCCTAATGAGCAATTTTTTATCCCCATTAATAATCGCCTTTCTCTATCCGATGCAACAAAATAATCAAAAAACGTTTAAATATCCTGATGATTACTTTTGTTATAGGCTGTGGAGAAACCATCGTGCGTACGAATTGTCAGAACAATACAGACTGTACAATCTAATGATTCTGTAGATTCTACAAAAGACAGTAATTCTGGACATATGATTAATCAAGTAAATGAACATACAAAAGTGTTGAATTCCCAGCCTGGAACACGAAGAATTGTGATTCAAAAATCGTTATCGAATACACAGAAAGTTGCTACAACTATACAAAAAACAGTATCAAATCTTCAAAAAGGTCAGCTACTGGCGCAGAATAAAATAGTTAATACTACACAATGTACAACTCAAAAAACTGGACAAAATTTATCTGATGTATTGAGGAAGCTGACAAATACCGGGCAAAAAGTTTGTGGCAATTCACAAAGAATTGTTAAACAAAAACCATCAGGAAATCTACAGAAGAGTGTGATCAATGTACAAGAAGTGACGAATACGGGTGCACAAAAGGTCGTTAACATACCGAGTAACCAAAGAGTTGTATTTCAAAAGGTACCGATACAACAGAAAAAGATACCGGAAATAAAGACGAACACTGTGAAAGTAGAGAATTTAGCAGCAAGCACGTCTGAGGCACAAATTAGGCGTATGTGTCAAGGCATCGGAACAATTGAGGTGACTATCTTTGCATGAAAACGTTTAAGACCTTAATTCTCGTTGCAAATTCACAAAGCTTCGTTTCATTTACATTCCTTTTCAATGTTACAAAGCGAACTTTTTACTTTCTCGATAATGATATACAACATCGACCTTCTTTATCTTCTTTTTTTTAAATCACATTTGTTATATTTTTTGTTCTCTCTATTCCTTTTGACAACAATTTTTACGATATTTTACGATTATTAATATTCTAATTATATCTACCTATATATATGTATATATATATTTGCTTCAACAACAATTGTGAGAATAATTAGTTTTTCTTTACAAGTACCTTTAGTGAGAAAAATACAGGTCTTTAGTACTTTGTAACAATATGGCTTGTAGTACTTACTTATATATGTCTCATAGCATGTACAACTTCTTTTTACCAACAACAACAGTGTACAGTTCTGTTTAATATAAATGTTAAATTTATATTGACGCAGTTCTACAGAGATTATTACGTCGACATTGCTTTATATTCATTCAGTGTTTGGCAAAAACCTTATTTTCCTACATCACTTTCCTTAATATATATAGGTGTAAGAGTATTAACGTGTAATGATAAAAATCATTTTGAAAAATATCTTTCAATCATCTAGAAATTAGAAACACATTAATGCATAACCAATATAGTTAACATTATACACGTATTTATTTTATTATATTCCATTATGTTACGTTAAAATTGTATTCCTGTTATTTCATTTACTATTATTTTTTTATTACACTTTCTGTAACAAAACTATCATATCCGTTTCTTTTTTTCTTTCGTTTTTTCAATAAAACATATTTCTTAATTTAATAATTATCTGTTTATATTATTCGTGTTATAGAGCATACAAATGGGTGAGCGTAGCGCAACGATTGTGTTTAAGACGCAGTCTGCTGCTATGATGTTTCACAAGAAATACCAACGTAAAATGCTAGACCTTTCGCTGATAACCGTTCGCCTTGTACCGCAATCAAGCGGATCTAAGACCACGACTACCGTTGTGAAAATTTCTTAAGAGAAATATTAAACACATCTAATCTAGTATATTTCGATAAAAAGAGGAAAAACAATACATAGCATGTTCGTATTTGTGTTTAAAAATAACGGTATTTTACTTTATTAATGCAGCCTACATATGAGTGAAAATGCATTTCGTATTTTACATACTCTTTATTTAAAATATGTATCGTGCAAAGACTAGAAAAGAAACATATTTTTGGCTGCAAATAAACTGTATAATATACCTTTTCAAATGAAGGTAGATAAACTAAACAGTTTAATTTGTACATATGTCAAAGCAATGTATATTTCATATAAAAATACACATAGTGGATCTAATAATATACTGTGCATTTAAAAGCTCTCATTTACTGTGCAGTACACGTGCTGAATCAGTAAATATCTACTGAGAACGTGTCTGCCAAAGACTATATCACACCGTCATGTTATTATGGTTGTACATATATATACACACGTATTTGCTATAAAATTAAAAGTAATTAAAAGTAGACTGTATTACAATTAAAATGTTTTTTATTTGTTTAAATTATTATACATATACTACACATTTTTTATCGTTACGAATATCCAATGATTTTATCGTATTTCTTTTATTTCATGTAATCTATAAATTGTTAAATGATTTATTGTAACTATCATATATTAATGTATAGTGCTAAATTTCATAAATATGTGATATATTTCTTTTTTAATATGCACTTACAAAGAAATTAATCTAAATGAACTCTTTCAATAAATACTTATACTATAAATATTACTATGTAAAAAAAAAGGAGTCGCATTTAATACGTTGAAACTTGAGAAAACTGTAGTAAGATATGTGCGATACAAAATTTTTCAAACGTTAAATACAATTTTATATTTTAGTTGAAAAATAATATTTAAAAATGCATGCATAAAGAAGTTATAAGTGCGTGTAAGTATCTCCAAAGGTATTTTTTGAACAATCGAAATTACGTTTAAACGATGTATGGAAAGAGGAAAAAGTCACATTCTTTGTAACGACAGTACAAACGTTGATTCTTTTTAATTTTAGCAATAGATACATATTTATTCCGCGAGGAAAAGATAATATTTACCTAAACTATAAAAATATTATCCTAATTATTGATTTACTAATATAACATCTTCATTTTTATTTCGTTTAAATTATTTTCCACACGAATCATGCATGATTAGTTATTGTGTATGCCGTACCGTGACGCTACAATAGCTAGGGAATTTTACAAGAATACGTAAAGTATTTCATGAAAATATTCGGTGCGTCAATGCGTAATACTGTGGATTTCTAATTAGAAATTAAATTGGTCTTCTTAGTTGTAGTGAATCGATGTTAATATGGCATCGACTGAACTTGATTGGGGCAAATATGTGGATGAGCAGGAAAAACTATCTGCGAAGGTAAAATTCTCTCACATTACATTCTACCGGCTTAACCTAACTTTTGTTTGTTTGTTGCATATTTGTTATTCAAAAAACTATCTTCTATGTACTTTTATTGTTACGTTTTGAATTATTTAAATTATATTTATTCAATAATTAAATCATATTGGATTAGATTCAATCGAACGAGTGAACGTCTGAATGTTGTAGAAGAAAAAAAAAATTGTAACTCAAGAACCTAACTCTTTTTTGTAATGAAATACTCTTATTATCTTTGTTTCCTTTATTGGAATAGCCATACTTAGTTTAATTAAAATCAGTGCTGTTTGTTACTATTATTATTATTATCAACAGGTGTCTAACTTAAATATAGACACACAACTTAAAGAAAATGCAGCTAGTACAGATTCCAAAAGTGATGATGGAACTGATGAACAGATCTCACCTGCAGAGAAGTCTTTACTTCAAAAAATTATTCGTAAGGGTTTAGTGGAAACAACGAAAGATATAGAAATTCAAAGGAAAGATCCATCTTCACCTTTATATAGTGTCAAATCTTTCGAAGCTCTCCATCTGTTGGTATTTTTAATTATTAGTTTCTTTATATTTGTATAACTCCAAAGAGATAATATATTATAAAATCCATTATAGTAAACCAGCTTTATTAAAAGGAGTATATGCAATGGGATTTAATGCTCCATCAAAAATTCAAGAAACTGCATTACCTACTTTACTTGCTGATCCGTAAGTTTATTTTTAATTTAAAAATACTCTGTAAAATATATCATTGATATGAAATTTGTTAAATTACATGCAGGCCTCAAAATATGATTGCTCAATCACAATCTGGAACTGGTAAAACAGCAGCATTTGTATTAGCAATGCTCAGCAGAGTAGATACAGCTAAGAATTATCCTCAAGTTCTGTGCTTATCACCAACTTATGAACTAGCTATACAAACAGGAGAAGTAGCAGCTAAAATGTCTGCATTCTGTAATGAAATAAAAATAAAATATGCTGTAAGAGGAGAAGAAAGTAATGTATATTTTAGATAATTTTTCAGTTTCTAGATCTATGTATACTTCAAATAGAAATTTATTTCAATTTTTCTTTAAATATTTCAGTAAGCCGTGGATCAAAAATTACAGAACACATCATCATTGGAACACCAGGAAAAGTCTTAGATTGGGCTGTTAAATTCAAGTTCTTTAGTTTAAGTAAAATATCAGTTTTTGTTTTAGATGAAGCAGATGTAATGATTGCAACACAAATTTAAAAATATTTCAAGAAATATTATATTTTATATTTAAATGTACACAGGCAACTCCCGCGCACATGCCAAATGATGTTTTTTTCTGCTACATATGAACCAGAAGTAATGAAGTTTGCAGAAATTATAGTCAATAATCCTTTGATAATACGATTACTAAAAGAAGAAGAAAGCTTAGATAATATAAAGCAATACTATGTGAAATGTAAGGATTTGGATGAAAAATATGCAGCTATTACCAATATCTATGGTGTAATAACAATAGGACAGGCAATTATTTTTTGTCATGTAAGTTACTTAAAAATTTTAGATTAAGAAATACTTTCTTCTTTTCGTTAAAACTGTAAATAATACTTTATATTTAAATATAGACTAGAAAAACAGCAAATTGGTTATCTGAAAGAATGACAAAAGATGGCCATGCAGTAGCTGTTTTATCTGGTGAACTAACAGTCGAACAAAGAATTTCAGTGTTGGATCGATTTAGAGCTGGTCTCGAAAAAGTTCTTATTACAACTAATGTCTTAGCTAGAGGTAATCATTTAATTCCGTATTTTCTGTTTAATAATTTATGCGAAAGCACAAAATTTGCATGAAATTTTATTATTTTATATCAATTTATCATATACTTATGGCAAATAAAAGATTATAAATGTAAAAAACATTATGTTTTATAACTAATTGTAACATCGTTCATAGGCATTGACGTTGAGCAAGTAACGATAGTAGTCAATTTTGATTTACCAATGGATCAAAATCGGCAAGCAGATTGTGAAACATATTTACATAGAATTGGCCGAACGGGGCGATTTGGTAAATCTGGAATTGCCATTAATTTAATAGATTCGTCGTATGCAATGCAAATATGTAAAGATATAGAAAAACATTTTGGGAAGAAAATTCATTACCTGGATGCAGAAGATGCGGATGAAATAGAAAAAATTGGAGCCTAGGTTAATGCATAAGAAATATAATTATGCTTTCTATCAAATACGCGTAGATATAGTGTAATACTCACTGGAAAAATAGACATTTGTATTCTTAATATCAGTTCGTTGTATTTCTTTTCCAATGGCACATATTACCGATAAAAATCTTCATTTTTTTTTTTCACAATGATTAAATAGTATTGTTTAACACCGAATTAAAATATGGCGATTGGATGAGGAATATACACAGAATTTAAGGAATATGAAATATAGAGAGATATTTTTATATGTTATACAACAAAAGTATCTGTTAAGCAAGGAAATATATCCTTGCCTCGGCAACATTATGACTTAATTCAATGAATTTTTAAACAAAACGGAAACTTACTATGCATCAAATCATTCCTTTCATATTTTTTCAATATTAACAATTATGTGATCCTGTTGAGTAAATCTTTAATGTTAAGAAAACATTACAACGATATTGTGGTATTATTATCGCGACTTTTATGACTATAAGTACGAATATTATAAACCAGTCAGTTAATCATTAGTTACTGACTAATGACTATTAACTATTGCTCGAATAATTCATAGCCGAACAAACAAGTCATCATCAGGTTGTACTAAAACTTCTTGATTCTTGTAAATGAATCATGAAATGAAAATATTGTAACGCAATACTTTCGATAATGCATTTAGACAATGTTGGACAATACGTACAAGCATATGTAATTTCTTTCAAATTCATTTACATGAAAATTTGTATGCAGAAAAATATCAAAGCATATGGTGCATTTTTTATCATACCTGACTCACATAAATAATTCAATCCGATAAAACTTTGCATAAACAAATATTATTTATTATTGTAACAATTAAATTTTTTATATTCACATTTTGTCTTTTATAACTTCAAAATTTATTTTTGAATAAGGCTTCCTCTTATTATATTTTTCAGTGAAAGTACATTCAAGATAGAAACATTTTTTTAATAGATGGGAAATGTTTTTTAATAAATAACAATGGTATATACTTTAAACATACATTTATTACGACTAAAAAAATGGAAATAAATTGTAACATTTAAAAAAAAGAGTATGGGATAATTTGTGTTTTCATCCTATTGCAATACATGTGTTTGTACATTTGCATTCTCATTCATCCACACAGACGAAAAACCACATAAAAATGCATCGGAGGATATTATTCGCATTTCGAATTTTACGGACGTGAACAAATATATAATGTTCTTTTTTATAACTTTGTGACAATTCAGCAAAAAATACGAAAGTAATTCTAAGATATGGATAAACGAATGACTCTCTACTGAAAATAGATCATTTTGATATATTAAACGAACTTTTTCAAGGTACTTTTATAATTCATCGTTTACCCAGAACTGAATACATTTTATATAACAAGATATAAATTGTTGACATAAGTATGCACATTCAGGTGAAAAATGAACTTTTATGACACGTGTCCAGCAAAACAATAAATGCTTAAAAATGCAAAACGAAAACAAATGATTATAGAACAAATATCACAATTATATGAAAAACTTGCTTTTAATGCCTTCATCCTCTGCTTGGAAGTAGAACTGTCTTCTAAGTATTCTGCTTTCTGGTTACTTGATCGGTAAGTTATATTTGTATTTTTGCAATTCTAATCGCAATTTATGACAAAGTGTAATATTGCGAGTGAATTGCAATCATTGCCAAATATTAATTACAATACGTAATTCAGTCTTTGTATGGGATTTCACTTAATTACATGCCCATGCCACCCATACCACCCATACCACCCATTCCACCCATGCCACCACCGCCCATTGGCATCTGAGGTTCTTCTTTAGGCAATTCGGTAACCACTGCTTCTGCAGTAGTAAGTAACGACGCAACACCCGCGGCATCAGTAAGCGCTGTGCGTACTACCTTCGTTGGGTCAATGATACCTTGTTGGATCATATCAACGTACTCATCGTTCAGGGCATCGTAACCAAGATTACTTTCACTCACTTTCGCTACTACTAAACTAGCATCGACGCCTGCATTCTGAGCAATCTGCAAACATGGCATACGCAACGCATTTGCCACTATCTTTATTCCTGTTTCTTGATCGTTGTTCGACGCTTTTAAATTTCGAAGTGCTGGTATACATCTCAGTAGAGCAGTGCCACCTGAAATATGAACATATGAAGGATAACAAATGCTATGATTTAATTCCTAAATAAATTGTAAATTTCCTCTATCCGGTGAACTAAAAATATTTTTAATAGGATTTATCATATTCTATTATTAAAATATGTTTACCTCCAGGAACAATTCCTTCTTCAACAGCTGCTCTAGTAGCATTAAGAGCATCGTGAACACGATCTTTCTTTTCGTTAACTTCTACCTCGCTACTTCCACCGACTCTCAAAACTCCAACTCCTGACGCTAGCCTTGCCAAACGTTCCTGTAGTTTTTCTTTCTCATAGTCAGAAGTTGTATTCTCAATCTGATCTCTTAGTACATCCGCTCTATGATCAATATCACTTTTTTTCCCTTTGCCCTTAAGGAAAAGCGTATCGTCTTTCGTAATTACAACTTCTCCTACTTCGCCCAAATCGATTAACTGTACATTCTCTAATTTAACGAGATTGGCATCATCGCCAAATACAATTCCTCCAGTTAGGATTGCCATGTCTTGAAGCGTCGTTTTCCTATTATCACCGAAACCAGGGGCTTTAACTGCCGCCACCTGCAAACCGATTTTCAATCTATTCACTACAAGCGTGGACAGAGCTTCGCCATCAATGTCTTCCGCTATGATAACAAGAGGTTTCCGTTGAGAATTTGCCAATTCCAATGCTGGAATTATAGACTGTACAGACGATATTTTTTTCTCGCTGAAAAGTACAAGCGCATCTTGGAACTCAACTTTTGCTCCTTTACTAGAATTTATGAAGTAAGGAGATATATAACCCCTGTCAAATTTCATTCCTTCTATTACTTCCAATTCGTCATGCAACGTTTTACCATCTTTTACAGTAATTACTCCGTCTTTTCCAACTTTTTTCATGGCATCAGAAATAAGATTACCAATGGCTTTATCCCCATTGGCTGAAATGGTTGCTACCTGTGCAATTTCTTCTGGAGTTGTTACTGGTTTGCTTAAGGCTTTTAATTCACCTTTAACCGTATCAACCGCCAACATAACACCTACAATGTATTCATTATTTTGTTATAAAAGCAATACTGCACCCATAATAAAACATTAAGATTTATAAAGTTTTCTCTAGGACATTATAATAGTACAACATAAGAAATTCAATTTTACAATAACTATATATTTCATTTTACTTACCCCTTCTTATTTCTACAGGATTGGCACCTTTGCTAATTTTTTCAAAACCCTCTTTAGCAATAGCTCTTGCTAGAACTGTAGCTGTAGTTGTACCATCACCTGCCTCTTCATTTGTATTATTTGCCACATCTTGTACCAATTTTGCTCCAATATTCTGGAACTTATCCTTCAGCTCAATTCCCTTAGCTACTGTGACACCATCTTTAGTAATCTTTGGACTTCCCCAACTCTGTTCTAAGATAACATTACGTCCTTTCGGACCCATTGTTACTGCCACAGCATCAGCTAAAATATCCACACCTTGCAACATAAGTGCTCTAACTTCTGCTCCAAAACGCACATCTTTGGCATATGAACGAGTTTGTAATTGGCGCAGAGCTGCACCACGCAATACAGTTGGCAACCTATGCATCTAAAATAATAAAAAATTGTTATAATTTTAATTGTTCCTTTAATTCTCTGCATTAATTATTTTATTAATGTCAGTTATTATGAAAGTATATTTTGGATTGCAAACGTTGAAATTCAACAATAAATCAAATAATTTTATTTCTATAACGTACATTTTTCCCATAATATGAATAATTTAAACATACTTTTAAGTTAAAACACTAATCGGTTTATTTAAATGTAAACGTGGTTATGTAAACCGCCGCGTGGATAGTAAGGAAAAAGATCGGATGGTACTGACTATCCCGAATAATTTTAGAAGCTTTTAAAACAAGATCTACATAATAAACAATTTATAGCTTGAAAATAATTTTATCAATCTTTTTTATACCATTGTAATCTATAATACGATATGATATACAAAATAACCCTACCGGCTTATTCGTGGACAAAATGCAGAAAGAGCAAAGAACCGAAACTTATGGTATGCAAAGAGTACAAATAATTTATAAGTATATGTTAAAACCACTACGAGTAACATTAATCAAATGTACGACTATATGTTCTTTCACTTTTGACCATGCATTCTTGGTTATTCATTTTGAACAGTAACATTTCTTAAAACATTAAAACATTGAAAAACTTGCTAAAACAACAAACATAAAAGAATTATTACAGGAAAAGGACATAACTAACACGTAATAATCAAAAAAAGAAAAGTATAAAATGAGTATAAGGGAAATAAATTACTTCTAAGAAAATTCAGCAATCAATCCCGTTAAACAGTTAATGAACACACAATACGCAAGAAATAGACAAAATTTGCCGAAAAAACTTTTACCTTTAATTAATGATAAAGAAAAAGCCGTTGGTCAGAGATTGTAGTTAGAAAAGTAATTGAAAATCGTCGCAGTGTGACCGCACGTTGTCTCGCCAGTAGAATGAAATGTGTAAGAGAGCTTGCGCTATCACATGGGTACTACTCCCCTCCCTTTCTCCTCATTCTAACCTAACCATTTTATTTTTAATTAAAAAACTTTCAATAATTCGCAATACATTCAACCAAATTGAAATACAAATGAAACAAAAATTGTGTATTTATTTCTGTTTTTTTTGTAATGTCATTTGATACATTAATTATATCAATACATCGTTTCTTTAGTAAGGGCTTATAAATTCTAGAATATACGAGAACACGTGTGATGTAATCGTTCAGTATACACCAATCATGTTCGTCGATATGCCGGCAGTTTATTCTTTACTATGATGATTCTCAATCTTCAGATCGACATTACCGGCTTCTAGAAAACTTTAAAACAATTTGAAGTTTATTACGGAAAAACATATTCATGTTACTAAAGAATATTAAAAACAATATTTATTTTTTATAGGTGACATTTATTTCAAATATTGACACATATTTTGAATTTTTTTATCTTTTTCATTCCTTTATCATCTACATATGTACATTTTAATAAATAATTTGATAAGCATAATCTTCTTCATGTTTTGATTTAATTTGACTTTAAAACATACTAAACAACGTAAAAACATTAATAAATTTTCTAATCTGTGATGTGTAATATATACTACATACATAAATATGTACATATGTATGCATATAAAAAAAGAAAGTTTAGAATTAAAACATATTGATTTTAAGTTTAGTCAAGACATAAATTTCTATAGAAGTTTCTTCATTCACATGCTGGACCAAGGAAAGTCCTTTTGTTAAATACTTTCTCATGATAAATTATATGTACTGTACATACATAATACATTTATATATATTAAACCAATAATTTGAATTGATATTTAATTTTATTGTACTCCAATACGATATCAGATACAGCAGGAACGTAATGGTTCTGCAAATATGTGTACCTATATGTATGTACATATTCTATTTAGTTAAAAATAATAAATCCTTACTTTAATATTTAATTTAATGTAGCGGGATATGCGAACATTTTAAATTTAAGATTATTTCTATAGTAATAAGTTTATTCGTGTATTCTTCCATCATAATTTCATATTTCAATAATTCCTGTCCAAGGACAAGGATATTAAGAATATAGTTACAATATTGTTTTCGTTCTCACGTCACTGTAACGCCATCTCGTGACGGACTTTATACCACGGTAGGTACATAGTTACGTAACGGATATATTGGATTCCTGCTCGAATGGAGAAATCAATAAACACGTGGTGGGGCAAAGAAATGTAGAGGGGAAACTGGAATCTTCGAGAAAAGCAGAGTAGCAGAGAGGACTGTTCGTCTTCTGCATGTAGATTGCACAACGTGTGCCGGTGTACTTGCTGGGTAAATTGTTCAAATTTGTAACTTTAAGGACACACACTGTGACCATGGTAAGGATATAAAATTTTTAATATTTTATATCGCTTATAAGTTTATACATAAAATAGTAAATCAACATTGTAATATTTTTTAAGCATTTCTGAAGATAACCTTCAATTCGCAGATTAAGCTGATATTTTTTCTGTTAGATCATTGTTTCGTTTAAAAAATATAGACAGTACTTGTAAAAAAATGTATAACATACATATATCTTGCAGTTTTCTTTTGTTCGGTATAGTATTTTCAATGATTTTTCACTTTAAAAATTTTGTCGCGTGGCCGGTATTCAACGATTTTTTGTTAGTGGAAGAAAAACAAATGATTGTAAAACAATCAATAAAACAAATACATATATGTTCTGATAATTTGTATCAAATGCTTGTAATTTAACATTGTAAATTTAATCGTAAAGTTACTAACAGATAAGAAATTAATTGTTGTAATTTAATGAAATTACATTTCTGTTATTAATTTGTTATTTGCAAGTACGTAGTTGTTTGTAATCCGAACATTCTCCGAGCATTACGAAACTCCGCGTAAAATTACAACATGCACAATCTCGAAGTAATTAATTTTAAAAATATCAATTCACAAAAGTTAATCATAAGTATGATGAAAGCTTTTCTATATATGTTCTATTTCAATGTTTTTAGGCAGCAGCTAATGTCATTAAGAGACTTGTACCCCTCTTTGATAGAGTTCTTATACAAAGAGCAGAAGCTGTAACAAAAACAAAGGGTGGTATTGTTTTACCAGAAAAAGCTCAAGCAAAAGTTTTGCAAGGGACAGTTGTAGCAATTGGACCTGGACAAAGAAATGATGTATGTAAAAAAACCTGCGATGTTTACAACAATACACACCATAGATATTAATGTAAAAATGAAAGCAATAATTAATATTTACTTGTTTTTAGAAAGGAGATCACATTCCTCTCAGTATCAAAGTTGGTGATGTTGTTTTACTACCAGAATATGGTGGAACTAAGGTAGAACTTGAAGATAACAAAGAGCTTCATTTATTCCGCGAATCAGATATATTGGCCAAATTGGAAGTTTAAACTAATGTTCCGAATTTTTTAAGTACTATTAACTATTTCATGAGAAATATAGAAAGTGTGAGGTATAGGTTAATCTCATGTATAGTTTGCTGTTCATCATTAAGTCACGCAATTATGTTATTCCTTGATATATCCACTGTTTAATGTAAGTGTCATAATTTCGTATATAGAAAGAGAAAAAAAATAAAACTTCTGTTACGTTTATATAATTATTTGTTTAAATATTATCTTCTCATATATTCTCTTTTTATCATAGTAATTTTGTACAAAAACATAGATACAATAAAACCCATCAATATGAATGTAATAAACAAGTTTATATTCACATTTTATACATGAAAGGAAACATCCGATAGTAATAGGAAATAAACTAATTTTACGATTATTAAGGTTAGACACAGCTTTAATGTAATCCTTGCCTCTCATTTCAATTTGATACTTTTCTTTACGCTAGCTTTAATACCCGATATCTCTCCAGCATAACGACTAACTTCTTTTCTTACTTCTCTTACCTGCAAAATGAAAAGATTATTATTATACCGAACACCTTCAGTATTTTAAACAAATAGATACATACCGCTCCTTTTCTGCGAATTTTGGCTTTACGATATTTGTTTCTATGTTTAACTCTGGGATTGCGTTGTTCTTTTTTACGGTATGGTGTTAAACCCTTATTCTTTGCTATTTGATATGTAATTGCCCTTTTTCCTTCATTCTCGATTACAGAATTTGTCAAATCAGTGTTTTTAATCTCATCATCTTCATTCTTTAAGCCTTTTTCTTCATCTATAAATTTACTGTCTTCTGCTTCAAATTCAGAATCTAATGAATATGCATTTGTAATTTCACTTGTCGATTTTTTCAGATAATTTGTTTCTTCTTTTAAGTGACCCGTTTTTTGTTTATTAATGTTTACTTTAACACCATCATATATATTATACAGTGGTTTGCCTTGCTTCTCAACTTTTAATATTCCTTGTATTTCTTCTATTATACTTCCTTGCCCTGATTCCAATTGATTTAAGAGCTGACGATATTGTGCCAATCGCTTTATAACTGGATGAGAACTTACAGGTAATCTTTTTGCTTTAAGCATCAAATAAAACGAAATATTAATACAATAATTTAATAAAAGATGATACTTTGTCCTTATGAAAGAAGCTGCAGGGCAATTGGGAAGTAGACCAGCTTTAACTAACTTTAGAAATGGTGCCAATGAATCTCTTGCTTCTATCATGCGATCTAAATCATATTATGCATATCAGAAATGTTTGAATGTTATACCTTAATTAAATGTGATTTATAAATTTTGTTACATAAAAAAACAGGAATTAGTTATAAACTACCTTTAAAATCATTTACAAGAGCTGCAAATTCAGGACTTTCGTTTTGCATCATTGCTTGTTTCTGCCTTTTACTGAGTCTACTAAGATCAGTTTTTATGAACTGTTCTGTATCCTCATAAACTTTCTGATCATTACTCTTTTTTGATTGCAAAAAATCTAATTCAAAATCAACATCATCCAATTGTTCTGCCAGTCGTTTTTGAATATTCCTAGCTTCTTCTTCTTCCATTTCTGCTTCAGCTAAATCTTTTTGGCTGATGGTAGCATAATCAGGATCTACATAATCTGTTGAATAATAAGCCTTCTTCTTTTTGCCCCAAGCTTTTTCATTTGGTAAATCAAAATCTTCTTGTAATCCTTCAATATCAGACTCCATGGAATCTGTTTGTACTCTGTCTTCCATATCTTCTTGATCCTCCTCATTTTCTTCATCCACTCCATATACTTCATAATCACTGTCATAACTTTCTGAAGATTGTCTATTTCGTACTTTTTTAAGTAACTCGCGTTCATTTTCGGAATATTCTTCTTCAGAATCTGTGAGTATTTCATTCATATTTACATCTTCCAAATCGTCTGTTTCATCTTTCGTTTCTGTTATTTTCATTCTACTAAAATAAAAATTCTTTTTAATGCCAAATTATGCTTTACTCGTAATGAAAAATTGACAACTTATTGATAAAAATACTAAATTAAATTATTTAATTCAATTAAAAAATGCTTTACCTCTTTTTATTTTTCATGTTAAATGCTTGATTTAAAAGAATAATATAAAAATGATAATTAAAAACGTTCTATGATGAAAGATACAACTTATAACACGCGAGTGGACAGGTACACAGTTCCACTCGTAACCTTAAAGACACAATTCAGTGTTTGGTTGCAACATAAATTTTTATTTATCGTCACTGGTAAAGTACGAATTTATGAAAAACAATGATTTTTATGGTAAAAATAATGATGTATCAAAATTTTTAAGATATAACAACAAAAAGATGTTTTGGACAAACTTTTCTTCCTCTACAAGGTGTCGCTTTAAATAGTACAAGACTGAAATTGCTCTGTCTGATAAAGCAGTATACCTTAAATCTATATAGTTCTGGAACTGTAGTTTATGGAAGAGTGTTGTATAATTCTAATATTTAGTTAACCTCAAATTGATTGTACACTTTCGTTGTGCGTAAATAACGTAAAGATATTATACGAACAGTTCATGTTTACTGTTTATTAGAATTTAGAAATAAAATGGTATTTCTAACTGCACAACTATTTGTGAGAAGTCGGGGTCCCGATGAATTCTGGCGAAAACGTCAAATATTCAAGCTCGCTGCGGTAAATACATTTATTTCAAAGATTATGAAGAAAAATATGTACATGATAAAGGATTATGATTTTCATAAAATTTAATACGTTTCTTTTCAGCATTATATTGGTAGAAAAAGGAATTGCTATAGTATAGCTATTAAAAATGTACATAGAGCTTTACTAAAATCTACAAAAGGAAGACAGCTTAAAAAGGAAGATATGAAAGAGGTAATACATAAAGGAAAAGAATTTTCTTTGGAATGTTGCATAATTTATTGTTTCTTTTTTATAGCTTTGGGAGACTAGATTAACTGCTGCCACAATTCAACATGGTATTAATCTGAAAATCCTATTAGAAGGATTAACCAGATGTAATATTTTACTCAATCGTAAATCTTTAACCGCTCTAGCTATATGGGAGCCACGAACATTTAAATGTTTATCCGATATTGCTTGTGCAAAAACAAAACTAGGTGGTGTTAAGCAAGTTGCTAATAATCCTATGCCTGAAACTGTTGTAGTTAAAGGATTAATTGATGAAATAGATTGACAAATTATTGCAAAATAAATAATGAAACTTACATTTTGTTAAATGATTATTCACTCTTAATTGTAAGGTAACGTTTTATTTATTGCAGCAGCATAACTTAAATCTTTCTCTATTGAATCAACAAGAAAATATATAAGTTACTTCTTTATAGTATTTAGAGTATTCACATCCTTATAGTGTATGTTCATTAAATGAATAACATTTTTACATAGGAAATGTTTGATCTCACTGTTTAGCATTAACAATTTGTACAAAATCAGGTTTTAAAGATGCTCCTCCAACTAAGAATCCATCTATGTCTTTTTCTTTTGCTAAGTCCTTTGCATTTCCTGCTGTTACTGAACCTCCATAAATAATTCTAACAGTATCTGCAATAGTTGGATTAACATTTTTACCAAACCACTCTCTTAATTTCTCGTGAACCTCTTGAGCTTGTTGTGGTGTGGCTGTTTTGCCAGTTCCAATAGCCCAGACTGGCTCATAGGCAACAACTACATTGTCCCAAGACTTTATTTTATCTGCAATAGCTTTTGTCTGTCTGTACACTACTTCTTCTGTTTTACCAGCTTCACGCTCCTCCAATTTTTCTCCAATACATGCAATTACCTTTACATAAAAAACAAAAGATTAAGTTTGAGTCAAGATACATTATATCAGAGCAATTATATAATTGTAATTTAAACATTAAGTTATGTTCTTAAAACAATGGAATTTTGATTACCTTCAATCCAGCTTCTAAAGCATGGGCTACTTTCTCTGCAACCAATTCATCTGTTTCACCAAAGACATTTCTTCGCTCAGAATGCCCAAGAATTACCCATGGAATTCCATTGTCCAAAAGCATAGCTGGACTTATTTCTCCAGTGAATGCTCCTTTTGCAACCTTGTATGTATTTTGCCCAGCAATGCCAACATTGTTAGGTAATATGCCCTTTACATATGTTAAGTATATTGATGGTACTCCAACAACAACCTCTAATATAATAATATTATTATAATTAAAAATATTAACTAGTTAAATTTGAGTAAAGTTGACTATGAAAAATAACATTTTTGTAAAACATTGTAAAAGTTGAAAAGTATGAATTATAAAAAATAACACACAGAAGAAACATACCGACACTTGAATCGAGAGGACCTGTTTTTAAAAAGGCAACAATACCATCTATTTCACTTTTGGTACCATTCATTTTCCAATTACCACCAACGAAGAATTTGCGACCCATGGTTTTATGGTATACTGATGCACACAGGTTACTAATAGCAATAAATTTGCAAATTATTTGAGAATCTGTAACAAATTTCAAAAATGCTCTTTCGACCTTCAATACGGTAGAAGGTGAATTTAGTCACGCTCTTTGTAACCTGGTTTTATGAAACCCCCACTATTCTCAATCTGTTTCTCCCCCTCTCTTTTCTGAACAATTCGCTGAAATAATTGATAGCAGATACAATTATAATTGTGAAAACAAAATTGCTTTCGTCTGTACCTTTTAACATTGAATTTAAAAAATTTTTATCGATCAACATATATTAAAATTCAACTGAAATTTTTATAAATAAAAATAATTTTTAACTTGATTTTAATCGAAATTTATGTACGCTATATATAGCGAACAGTTTAAATTTAAAAATATTTCAAGACTTGGTGGTTTTCAAATTAAGATTAAAACAATAGTTAGACAGTGCTGTGTTACAAGTATACATTTTGTGTTTAATTTTGTGTAAGGGTAGTGAATAGATCATACTATATAAAATCTAGAAATATCATACAGTTATTTAAATTTTTATAATATTGTAAAATAGAAAATTATAGTAATTCTTCCGATAGTTGATATACGTACTTACGTTTTAAGTCAGTATTTGAGTTTATATTCGTCAGTATTCGATATATCGATGGTGAGTAATAAGTAAAGATAGGCGTTTCAAAATCATTTTAAACCGTGACAATAGATCCAAAAAAATCTTTAAGCTCAAAGTTTAGTAATATATAAATAATTTTTTATATTAGCATTAAGTTGAGACAAAAATGCAAGAGTATTTTGGTTTGGAGGTTATAGAGCAATATTTAATAATTATGATTTTTTAATTTTTCTTGGTAAATGAAAAATACATTTCTTATTCGTAGTTATTTATCATTATTAAGTAAAATATAAGGTATACTTACTATGATGAAGAAACTTTTTAGTTAATATCCTTTTGTAACATAATTTAATAAGGAGCATGTTAATATAAAGTTTCGAAACACATCTTAATATCTTATTACAAAAACATGCTATTACATTATTCGTAAAACACAAATCGTTAAGAAATATTTATATCAATGAAGTTGGATGAAAAAGAAAACATATGCATAAACTTGTTTATAATGACTTGTCGATGTTTTCATAATATAAAAATTCGTATTTTGTAATATTTTTCTGTGCTTACTATTTTAAGATATTTACACGCATCGGTATTTATCTATTATCATAAATATAATTTTATAATTCAGACATTTGTAACATGTTTGAAATGTCAACATTTAATGTGGATAAATTTGTACATACATTTATCCAAAATTTAGGCTTAAAAAGGGAATCCCATGTTTGCAAGAAATTTAGCAAAATTGCATTTATACCACATATAGATAAGCCTTACAAAATCAAGCAATTATTAGTTTATTCTGCAGAGAAAATGAGAGAAATAAATATGCAAGAAAATTTAGATTTCTCCAATGAAAAAAACATAAAATATTTTATAGAGAAGCATTTTAGTTTCTTCGATAAACACATTTATTTGAATAATACACAGATATTAACCTCTTATTTAAAAAATATCAACACAAAAATTCTTCAAAATATGAGGATAAAGATGAAAAATAATGAAAATATAAAAAAAGCAGAATTCAAAATGCATGAAAAACATATGATATACAATAAGAAACAAAGAACAAATTTGGGAAACAGATTAAGGGGGCTAAAAACTAATTCATCATCACCAATGGCATGTAGAGAAAAATATAATAATTTGCATAATTGTGAAAAGAAGAAATGTAAGAAAGCTGTAATATCTGGACATTCTAAGATATTTTGTTGCGATACATCTAACAGTCTAAAAGATAACTGTAGTTTAGAAACTGATAATGATAAGCAGAATAATTTTGATAGGCACAATTTGGCAAATAACATGACAAATATTACGAAAAAAGAAATAGAAATGACTGAAAAATTTGTACGGTTGTATATAAAGGATATAGAATACATAAAGAGAAATATACAAGTTACACTTCACATAAAAAAGGTTGTATGATAGATGTTTTTGTTTTTATGTTAAACTTATTTAAAGTGTCTTTACATTTAATTCCATGTAGTATACTTTATGCAGACATTAAAATATAATTATGATAGACCAAATCAAATAAAATATATTGAAACACTTTGCCACCATGCAATTCTATGTTTAATTGAACCAAGTGAAAAGGGTTTTGTTTTAGTTGAAGATGATTTGACAGTTGTCACTGAAAAATATCTATCACATGGATACAAATATCATTTTGAATTTCT